AGAACTGAGCAGAGCAGATCAGAGCAGATCAGAGCAGATCAGAGCAGATTAGAGCAGAGCAGAGCAGAACAGAGCAGAGCAGAGCAGAACAGAGCAGAGCAGAACAGAATAGAACTGAGCAGAGCAGAGCAGAGCAGATCAGAGCAGATCAGAGCAGATCAGAGCAGATCAGAGCAAATTAGAGCAGAACAGATCAGAGCAGAATAGAACTGTGCAGAGCAGATCAGAGCAGAATAGAACTGAGCAGAGCAGAGCAGAGCAAAACTAAGCAGAATAGAACTGAGCAGAGCAGATCAGAGCAGAACTGAGCAGAATAGAACTGAGCGGAGCAGATCAGAGCAAAGCAGAGCAGAGAGCAGAGCAGAGCAGAGTGGAGCAGAGCAGAGCAGAGTGGAGCAGAGCAGAGCAGAGCGGAGCCGAGCGAACGGAGGGAGGAGCGAGAGAGGGCCACCAGAGCCAGCCGGCCGTCTCGGGCCGAGTATTCCAGGTTAATTTTACCGAGCCCTAAGGAGCGCATGCGAAGGACCGGGCGAAGGATAACGCTAGCGGGGCTCATCGGTTGGACGCTGCTCGAAGCGAACGAAGGACGCCCGCATTCCACGCCGCAACCTGGTATAATACGAGGAATTGGCCGAACAGAGCCCCGCCGAGGGCGACGGAGACAAGACGCACGGCCTGGCTGACCGTTCGACAGAGACGAACGAACACATCGGTCGAGCGAGACTCGACACGGACAACCGACGAGGACAGAAGGATCCGGCCGTTCTGCCGAACGACGGAGACCGAGGAACACCTGGAGATCGGTGGGGTGCAGCGAGTAGGGGTTGTCTGCATCATCCTTCTCCTTTTACACTCTCTCTCTCCGCGCTCCCTTCTCTCTTTCATCCGCTTTCCCTTCGTCATAATCATCCTGCGGCTTTGCACTATCTCCTTATTCGTTTCATTCTCGCTTCGCTATCCTTGCCCCGGCAACCGCTCTCTTTGTCTTCCGTTCGGCTCCGTCTCTTTTTGCAGCTGCGCCGCCGCGCCGAACCACCGCCGACTGCAACTGCAACTGCAACAGCTGCGGACGCGCGGGTCCCTTCGAGGAATAGGAAAATCCTGGCCGCGGTGATTGGCGACAGCCAATCTGGACCCCGCTTCCGTCGTCGTCGTCGTCGTCGTCGTCGTCGTTGTTGTCTACTTTTGCGTGGGTTCCGAAGAATAGCGTGCTGAAAACTTCGTCCTCCGATTGAAAGCTGGAACCATCGCCGACGAGTTCGTAACAGTAGCGAATGTCGGCTTCGACCGTATTTTATGGCCACACGATTCTCAGCGACTGACGCAAGTACGGTAATGTCTCTCCAACTGACGCTCAGATTGTTCACGACAATTGGCAATTCGGGAAGGGGAGATACGATTAATCGAGTCTTGCAGCTCGCTCTTATAATTTTCGACAATGTGTAACTATAAAAACGAGCCGCAACTCCTCCGGACGGGCTTTTGTTTCTCAGAAATTTGAGATTCTGGTTTGTGCCCGTTTCCTGCCCATTCGTCGCAAAATGGGCGACTGCCGAAGGTATCGAGATGTCCGACTTTTTTCCCTATTTTCAAGGGAGAAATTTCTTTCCTCCGACGAGACGGAAGCGATTTTCATTTGCAGAATCCTGTGTGGTTTCACTCTCTCGATGTACAGTAATAATGTCTCCCTAACTGACGCTCAGATTGTACACAAAAATGGACAATTTCGGAAGAGGATTATTATTATTATAAGAAGAGGATAGATTATTATAAGAACAAACCGCAAAGCTCGAATAACCGTATCTCCTCTTCCCAAATC